AACACAAAAATCTAGTTGTATATTAAAAATCGATACTTCCAAAAATAAACTAAACTGGATAGAGTTAGGCAAAAAAGGAAAATGGTTTCAGTATATGAGGGCAATTTATGAATAAACTACCACTATTTAAAATAACTCAAAACTGCAACACTTACAAATATTTGCGTTTCCCAGCAGACCAAATCCACACTCAAACGTGCATCTAAGATGGCTTCTCTACCATTCATCCCTGAAAATCAATTGAAAAAGACACAAATAAATCAAACTGAAAAACAAAGACCCAATTAGTAGATTAGCTAAAGACACGCTAAAAATGATAAACTGTAACTGTCCTCCAGTTGGAGACACGCAGGTGACTGGAATCTATATTATTAAATGACCATTTCAGTATTACATTAAAAAGAAAAAGTCTATTTAAAGGCATTACCATTGTGCTTGAGCATATCTTGTTACTTATATGCCTAAACAATCACTCCTTCACCAGTGAATCTGACAACGCACATTTTTATTCATCAGAATCAGAATCAGAATTCTTTTATTTGCCAGGAATGTTTGCACATACAGGAAATTGCCTTGGTGTCATTGGTGCACTACTTATGTACATAAAACAACAATATAAAAAACAACAATATATAAGAAATAGAATAAAATAAAATAAAATAAAGTATATACATATATACAGTAACAGAGTAATTCATTGTTTCAGTTGCATGTAGGATTATTGATGGAACCAACATGATGTCAGGGTTGCTTGGTTTCGATTTGCTTCTGACAGCAGCAGGAGGTTCAGAGGGGCGGTGTTGACCAGAAATCATACTGCGAATATCCAGACTACTTGTGACAGACAAAATATCCACATGTGCAGGGAGTGTGAGAACTGTGTGTTTAGTGATGTGGTTTTACACACAGGTTGATGCGTGTGTGTGTGTACTCAGTTATTGGAGTTATGAAGGAAAGTTTCTTTGCTGTGTCGAGACTGAATATGAACAGAAAAGAAGATAAATGGTGTGAGTCCCATGAACAGAAAAAAAAAACATGGAATTTCATGGAATTTGGTTCAATGGTTTTTGAGTAATCCCACAGACATTTCCTGACAGAGGTAATGAAATGACAAAATAAATTTTCGAAAACCACCAAAGCTGTGAGCTGAGTCATTATCTGTGATCGTGTGTAACCAATGTGCACAACGTGAAAACTGCAATCACTGGCCGTCTCATTGGAACAAATATCCCCAACATCCACAATGAAATGTAAAAGAAACACAAGAATGGTACATGGTACAGCACAGACCTCTGCCAAGGCCCAACATTACCACAAATACATTCACGAAATCTGGATTTTGTTCTGTGAATCTGCACAAAAATGCACAAGCTCATGAATATCAGTCCGTTAAATAGGCATATCTGTTTTCATTGAGATCCAGAAGTTGTTCATTGAATTGAAGAAACCACCTTGACTGAGGTGAAAACAAATATTTACTGTCATCACGTTGCGTATGTCAGAGAAAAGTGGATTAGAACCCAGGACTGAGGAAGAGGAACCCTGGACCCTGGCATCATCGTCATCATCATCATTTCATTCCTGCAGAGTCCAGAAAATCCAAGTTGCACGCAGATCAGGGATGGCGTCAGTGCTCTAGTGTACCGTCTGTGTGACTGATAATTCATTTTCACACAAATATTTAATCAAAAAAAGAGAATCCAATTTTCTTTTTGGTCACAGTGCTCTAGTCACCGTTCAGACTTTATTCAGCCGGTAAAGTAAAACAAGGGATGCAAAGAGGCGACACTGACCCTCACCTATGGAGGTTAATTGTATGTTTCTGTGTTGGTAATTCCCTCAGGCTCTGGTTGTGAGGATCTTGCTCTGTGTGCTGGTCTTTTCATCCTTCTCACCTCATTATTCCTCCTGTCTTACCATCCACAATGCATTGCAATATTATGATCAATTTTTCTATGTTTTCTAGTGCACAAGAAACTTCTATGAGCAGCTGATTACACTGGTCCACAGCAACAACAATTTTGTGACAACACCTCTATGACTGGCTTTGTCTAACTCTCTGCCAAAAGCTTCATCGTGTGAAATGTTTAGTTAAAGACTAGATGTGTGAGTATGATGAGCCTGCGATGATGGCTGTGTGTGCACAGTATGGATCTTGTTTAAATATCATTTTAATACTTATAATTTGAAGATTGGAACAATGGAACAAAAAAAAAATCTTTTGTGTGTATATGAAAATGAAAGCATTTTTTTTCCTCTTTGTTTTTTTCCTTTTTGCGTCCGTGTTGTGTTAGAAGCATCATCAACCCCCCCACCACCACTCGTTCTCTGTTAATGCACACATCAAACTCTCCTGAATTTCTACACCACGAGGCCAGGTGGAGAAAGTCCACAGAAACTGCTGGGACTCTTACTCAGACATTAGCCTTCACCTCCTCCGAGGGGAATGTATGGGGAATCTGCAGAGTTCAGTGCATGTCTGAAAGCAACTTTAAATAGTTGCCTCGGACTCTGGACAGCAAACACAGTCCCCTTTTGTTTTCAGTCTTAAGAGAAGTACAACCAACAGCAGCACAGAGGACCTGAGGGGGCAAGGGTACCAGCCATAGTTCACTGATGGACATTAACACATCAGGAACGAAGTGAATGTCTTTTTTAAGTAATTTGGGAGACATAATGTCACAGGGACAAGAATAGTTGTGGGGTATGGTATGAAATCACGGAGGGAGATGGGAAAGAATTGATAGGAGGGGACAGATGTGGGGGCTCGTGAGGCTGGGGGGCAAGAGAGATGCTCTTACTCTTGATTTTTTTTATCTGCATGGAAAAATCCTCACAATCCTTTGGCTAAAGGTGGGGATTACATGCTGGAGGCTGGTTTATTTAACAGAGGGTCAGGAGGTTTAAAGAAACAACAACCTAAGATTGTGTTTGTTAGATTTGATGAGATAAATAAAATATGAAGCATGCACATGTTTAATTATTCTTCATTCAGCAGGATCATCAAGTCTTTCATTTAAATGTAGTGGACACACAGTCATGTGGTGTTCATCATGTACCCGGGGGGATGTGGTGGATTTAGAAACTGATGTGGTCCTAAGAGGGGCAGCGGTTTCTAGAGCAGATGCACATATATCATTAAAGTGGTTAACCATGTCATCAATATGCAAAGATGATGACCCACTTTTATTGAACACAGAGAGAAGAAGAAAGTGTAGCTGAAGACTAACTGCCACTGAGGCATCATTTTAAAGTGTGAGAGGGTTTGATGTGAAATTATATCAAAGATAAAGCGTCTGTGATCACAGATAGAATCATCACCAGTGTCAAGCCCAATGAGATGAGTTACACTAATAAAAAAAAAATCACCCGCTGTGGGATCTGTTGTGTCATCTGCATGCAAATTAAAATCAGCAAACATAATCACTTAATCATGTTCGACAAAACGCAACAGCAGCAAAGTCAGGGAAATCAGATAAAAAGTTTCTGTTGGGTTTTGGTGCATGATAAATGAGAATCGACGTATAGGAATAAACTGGGGGCACAAGAGGGGAGAAATACTACACTGTTGTGACAAGGGAGTTATCTCCAACCTGGTGATAAGAGTCCTCACTGGTAACATGATTGTTTATTATATTGTTTGGTCTATTAGTAATATTTTACAATATTTCCCTTAAGTCTAATGTAATATAATAAAAAGTAAATAAAAACCTGGTGCTGTTGAGCTGTACTGGATTATACAGAGGGGTTCGTACATTTCTATGAACTACATACATTATAACGAACACACACTCTTCTCTGACTGTTTCCATGCAGGAGTAACAATGTGTGTTTGTATCTGTTCAAGCGGATGTGCTTACATAAGAAATTCAATGGTCTACTCACCTCTGCGATACACAAACACACACCACGTGTCATTATGGACTGAAGTGGGCTGATTTTGGCTCAGCCATTATCATCTTATACAAGCCACTACAGTGAAGAGACAGAGCGTGTGTGTGTGTGTGTGTGTGTGCACACCCACACTACTCATGTGCTTATGTGCCATTTTAAGTCATTTCTAAAATTGCACACTAATAAAGCAGGGCTCCTGGCCCCTCTGTCAGCAGGGCTGTTGAGCTGATGAAGTGTGTGAGTGTGAAACACACAACTGAAGCGACCACTTTCACTGTAAAACCCACAAGTCGCTAAAACAAAGCTGACCTGGTGCAGAACCCTGTCATGGTTCTTATTGTCCTCACACCAACATGCACACGTTTGAATATAAATATTATTGGATTCGTCTGGATGCCTGTCTGGTTTTTGTATGCATTTCAACCCAGTCACCACATGGGGGTGTAATAACCTTAGGGATGAATGTACTGACCATCGTGTTCAAAATGAAAAAACCCACTGAGGAAGGACTTCTGTACATGTGATTAACTGTTGGCACTTTTATTCATCTGTAGGCTTTACTAGAAAGGCACTCAGTAGGTCCAACAGTCTCCTTAAATTCAAGCTGCACCAAATTTCACACACTCAGAAATATCAGTCTCCTAAACATCCCTGAATTATTCTGAGAAATCAAAGTACGTGAAAGAAAGAATCTCTACACCAAAATGGAATTGGTTTTTTTCTTAGTAATCCACCAGGTTTTGTGGAAATGTGTTTACTTGTTTATGTGTAATCTTTCTTAGAATCCAACCCAGAAAAACGAGTGAGGGGGAAAACATAACCACCTTGGTGGGGTGACAACACAACGGTACATGGGCAGAGAAAATTGAACAATCAAATAGATGACATCAAAACAAGATTCATCAGTGTAACTAAGAGCCAACGTCACACTTCAGTAAAATGTGAAGGGCTTTAAAAAAAGCCAGAGTCTAAAGTTCCATGGAATAATAGCAAAAGCACAGTCACCCTTTGTCAGATGAGGTTCGAGCCCTTCACACACAAATGACCTCTCACCCCTGAGTTTGAGCTGACAGAATCTATGAAGGTCAAATTTCAGTGATCCTCAGTCAGAATAAAACACACAGTCGGCTGTTGAAATTGTTTTCAGGTGTATGGATGCTGCTCTCGTTGGTCGCATACGGGGGGCTGATGTCCCAGGCGAAGGGGGTGACAGCGTGTGGAGCATCTGTGGGCCTGTCAGGTCTCGCATCAGGCTCTTTGTCAGGGTCTAAATGAAAGACATTTTAAAGTTTTAAAATGTAGTGAACCACTGTGCACACGCTTGAGACGATTTCATCCACACCTCCACGTCAGAGATGACTAACGTGCCAACAACAATTGGTCAAGTGGCTGAGCAGGTCTTCTCTGCCCATCGGCTGTCATGTGACAATGAATTAGCCTCTGGGGGCAACATACAATGTTTTGGGGGCCTCCTGATCAATTTGGTCAATGACATGTCAGATTCCTTTTGTTTCTATGACTTGGAGATTATCCGACTGATGTGTAGCCTCTCCCTGTAGATAAGGAGAACAGAAGTCAGTCTAGTCACACCAAACTAGTCATCCGGTAATCTCACCCAACTATCTACCTCTTCTTATTCAATGGGTTCACCGGTAATTGAAGATGTAGGTTTCTGGCTTCGAATTTTTCACACCTCGTCGTCTACAGGAATCAAATCAGCAATTCTTCTTACCTTTTTCGTTCTGGCCGTGAAGGTCGTCCTTGTAGAGACACATGTTCCCAGCCTCTCTTCCCATGATGTCGTCTTCTGAAGCCAACAGGTTGCCCAGCAGGAAGTAGGTGGTCATCCGGCCTTTACCCTTCACCTCAATCTGCCCACGCTGTTGTATGTTGAACCCGGTATCTCTCAGCTCACTGCACAAAGCATGAGGGGCTGAGGGAAGTGACGTCAGCCAAGACAGCAAGAAAACTGCCTAGCAAATAAACTCCAGCCTTCAACTAGATCTTGCACTTGGACGCACTCCTGCACTTTTAAAATTTCTATCACTTTCTGTTTCTTCAATTTAATTTCTTTTTTATTTTCTTTAAATGTCCTCATGTCACTTTTATATGAAATTACATTTCAACATGTTTTTATTCTTATATAGTAGAAGTATTTACGTCTAGCTGCATGTCTTGTATGAAAGGTGCTATACAAATACAGTTAATCATTGTTATTTCTCAGTATCATCAAATACTTGGGAATGGAACAGGGAACCAGCATCAGTGGGAGAAGCTATATGTGCGCACATACACACACTCACACACACAAACCTGTATGTGGAAGTGCTGAGGTGAATGTGGTCAGGTAGTCCATGACTCTCCATCCTGGAGGCAGTGTTAACAGTGTCTCCAAACAGGCAGTAGCGAGGCATCTTCTCCCCCACTACCCCAGCTAACACTGGGCCGGTGTGGAGGCCCACACGGATCTGAAACCCACGTTAACGCCATGTCAGCACAAAAATACAAGCCACAGTAATAGACAACAATGTGACGTCCCATGTGGCCCTGCTTCTTGCTTCTGTTTAATGCACACTTTCTTTTCAGACGCCGGAAGGGAGTGGGAGCTAATTAGATAAAGTTCTTAACTGGTTTTCACTACGATTATATAATGAACCACTGCTGAAGCATAATCTGCAAAAACTTTAGAAATCCATTTGAACAGAAGTTTAAAGTCATAGAAGCAACTTTGATGCTTTAATATAATAAACCCTTTTTTATGTGGTTGGAACAAGAGCTACTACCAAGTTCTGTCACATCAGATTTATTTAGATCTCAAAGCACTTATAAGATGATCTTGTTACATGGTCACATCACAAGCACTTTGCACAATAGAATAAAAATTCTCACCTGAATGGGTTTGCCTGTTACAGGGTTGGTGACCTCTCTGGCTGCTATCCTCATCCCCAAAGCAAAGTTTGCCACTCTGCGAGCATGGGTGTCTGTAGGGACTGGAACGCCACCCACCACCATGTAGGCATCACCGATAGTTTCAACCTTTTAGAAAAAGAAAAACCTTCCATCGTTCTATAAATCAACTAACTAATCAATTAAGGACAGAGGATGTCACTCCTTGTTAAGCCCTATGAGACAAATTGTAATTTCTGAATATTGGCTATACAAATAAAAGTAAAAGTAATTGTCTAATGTTGCAGGAGGGACGATACCTTGTAGACGTCGTGTATATTGGTGAGTCGGTCGAACTTGGAGTACATGGAGTTGAGCATGTGAACAATATGGATGGGCTCACAGGCAGCACAGATGTTTGTGAAGGTTACCACATCACTGAATAAAATAGTGCACACCTCAAACTCCCCTGTAAAAGACAAACAATTTAACAAAGCAACAGACGGATATGTATGATATGGACGACTGGGTTGTTGCAGGCTGACTGACCTGCCTCCACGCTCTTGCCATCTTTGAGCTGATTGGCTACATGACGTGGAAGCATGGCATACAACAGAGTCTCTGTCTTCTCTTTTTCAGCCTCAAGGTGCCGAGACAGGATTCTCAGTTCCTCCTATGGACACACAGTCCATGTATCACACCACAGAGATCACACCGATTAAAGTTGTCATTCAACCTCTCATTGCATCTTTGATTGCTGCATCCCGTTATAGAGGGTTGGGAGAGAATTCTGCATAAATGCAACAGAGCTCAACAAGATTCTGTACTTGGATCAGTTTGATTCACTTTATATCTGCTTCCTGTAGGCAACAAAAAAGAAGAAATGTTCTTTAACTCCCACATTAGACTTTCACCAACATAACATCACAAAAATCAGGCACATCTGTTTCAAAAAGATTCAGGAAATCTGTCTTGCTTGCCACAAAAGACTCCATCAACTAGAATCTGCTGTCCTACTTTTTTCCTCTCCAGTTGGTTGGTCAGCTCCATCTCAGCTAGACGTTGCTGGTTGAGAAGAACCAGGTCTCTGGTGACGTCGTGCTGGGCCAGGTCAGCCAGGTGCAGGCCAACATCCTGAAGTTCCTGCAGGCTCCTTAGCTTTGGAGAACACAGGTACAGCATACAGCCGAGAGAATCCATCCACAACATCTGACCTACAGATAAAATTAATACAGGGGAATACACATTTAGATTTTTTTATTTTTTTTAACACTAGCCAACAACATATTTCTGATTGTGCAGGGTTACCTCTTAGGTTGAGGGTGGAGTTTTTGTCCTTGAAGCTCTTCAAGACAAACTGACTGTTGATGAACTTCCTGATGCTCTCAATGGTAAGGGTAACCTGGAGGACAGACAATCTCAAAACATACAAATCCAAGATATTTTGGCTTCTTGATTGTTGAGGAGATGTTTCGATGAATACCATCTGTTACCTGCGGGTGTATAATGATGAAATATTGGTCCAGTGTAGCACCTCTGGCCTGTAGACCTGGAACAAACTTCTGTATGTTCACCCCAGTCTGCCTTATCATTAGCTGACCACAAACAGAAAATAAGCCCATTTATTCAATAAAAAAATATAGTTCCAGTACTTCCACAGAGTTGAATGGAGCCTTACATCTTTGTCAAAGACGATATGAAAGGGAAAAGCATTGCAGAAAGATTTCTCCTCCATCCACAGTTTGTCTGGGTAACATGGATTGAAGGTGCTCTGGTGGCTGCCTAGGAAGTAAATCAAACACCAATTAAATCGTTGTGTGATAATCTACTCTTAATATATACTGTGTAAACATAACTCAGTTCTGTTAGGCATCAGCAGACTCATTTTACTATAGTTGTTTTTCATGTCTTACATGCAGCTGTTTACTCAAATGATTATCTGTCTGCAAAGCCTTCGGCTCCAGCCCAGGTTTATGAAATAAGGTCAGTCAGTGCGTGTTGTTTTTTTAATCATAAATTCTAAGAACAAACATATGGAGTTGACCTTTTTCTGAGAGAGACAATGCTCTGATCAGGTCCCAGCCACTCTTCTCCCCAGCCAGTGACACATATCTGCCCCTCATTCTTTCGAAACATTCCTCCTGGGAAAAAAAAAGAGAGCCAAGAATCAGAAACACACATAATATACACAGTGCATATGAAGACAGAACATATACACCCACCTGTCTCTGACTGGAGAGGACCTGGACTGTGCTCTTGCAGGCTTGGTTGGTCTGTTTGACCAGAAACACAACATGCTCCTTCTTTCCTGTCCGCTCGTCTTCCACTGATTGGTTCAGAACCTCCAGGGTCACTTTGCTGTCAAAGAGATCTCTGGCAACCGCCTCCATGATGCCTGTAGCAGGGAGGAAACATGAGGGAAAGAAATGAAAAGGAGTAATGGACACTGGATCAGTGTGTGGTCTGCCTAATGCATGTTGCAAAAGTATGCATTGTGTTGACGGTGGGAGATTGTCATGACAACGCAAAAGATTACTGTGTGTTGTATAAATCCAAGACTATAGCCTTTTGCCAGTTGAAGGGAAATGGGGGGTATTAAAAATAAACTATACATTAACAGTTAAATTGTTCATTTTAAACTTTAAATGTGTATCTCTGCTATAGAGCCATAGATAGATTATGAGACAATGGGCTTAGTTTTTTTTTTTTTTTCTAAGTCTAAATATTTCCCATACATATCAGATGCAGATGAATGCGGTGAGCTGAGAACATCACACAGTGTGGTTGTTTTTACCGGGAACAATATGGTGCAGGCCCTTCCTGTCGGAGTAATAGTGAAGCAGCATATTCCCATCAACCGTCATCTCAACTCGGAAAGATGGGGCATTCATCTCCTATGCAAAAACAGAAGTTAGGAAAACATTTAAGTCTTTACTTTCTTTATAACTGTGTTTAAGTATTTAAGTATTTAGCCTGTGACCCCAAAATTCCATTGCCAGTGAATGAATGTATGTAATTGTTGTGCACATAACAAATGAAGTCTTGAAGTTTTCTTGGTAGAAAATCACTAAGGGAGGTATAGCACAGGTTCAACCCTGACAAATTAAACCATTAATCCATGGAGCCAACCTGCCTTGTGTTAATAGTCCAGGTGTTTTCTTGAACTTTTAACACCATTTGATCGTGGAGTGTTCTTGCTGACCACGTTTGTGCCTTTATGGCCACAGTTTACTATCAGCTAATGGCTACCTCCAGCAGTATAACGCTTCATATCTCAAGTAAAAGTCGTCTCAAAATTTGTGGAACGACCTCGTGGTCGACCAACCACTTGTCAAAAATAGAAGTGACTGGGGCCTTGGTAGCAGCTGCGTCTAATCTCTGGAACAGTGTAACCATTTACTGTATAATAGAATGGCTTAGACCTCAGAACCGATGCTTACGACCCACTTCTTCTCACTGACCTTCAATGATATTCTACATCCTTTTTAATTTGTATTTTATATTTCATATCTTTCTTTTCATCTTAAGCCTTTTCAGCACTTTTGTCAAGGTTGGCTGTGCAACATAAATAAGCTTTGACTTCACATGTGCATACCTGATAAGACAGAGCCAGGTAGCTATGGAGAGAATCCAGATTTTCGATGAAATCAATCAGATTTCCTCCCAGTGTCCTGAGCATGGTGTCGTATCCCGCTTTCTTACAGAAAACAAAGAAGTGTTCCCCAAAAAGCTTCAGAAACACATCGGCAGAAACATCTGAAAACATAGAAGCAGACACTATCACAGAATTTTAGGTATTAAATCCACGTTGCATCAGTTTGTCCTCTAGATTCATATGTTTGTGTCATTAAAACACTGGTGGTGAGCACATATTCAATTACAGCTTACTCCCAAAAGGATGTACAGTGTAGATAATCAGACCCATAGGAAGAGGTGTTGACTTTCTGTGAATAAACAGTCCTTGTTATGTTTTATGCATCTTTACCCAGAGGCCCCAGTGTTTCATCCATCTGTCAAATGTGATCCATATGTGTATCAAGAAATAATTTATGTGTCAAGTACAAAGGTTTTTGCAGCTGCTGCAGTGGAAGCTGTTCACCTATTACAGTCACACAATGTTTCTTCAGTATTGACATTTTAAAAAAAAGGAAAAATAAATTCAATAACCACACATGGGATTAAATATCATGTAAGCAGAAGTAATGAACCACTTCTGAACTGAGGTAATTGTCCATGTTCACACCACATCACAGACATGCATGATATGTAGCCAATACTGGAGCGGCTCTGCTGTGCAAAGATCAAACTGGGTGACATTGGTGGAGCCTGAGGATGCATCTGCAGCACTGTTTAGTTAGTGAAGGGTGAATCGTGTTGAGGCAGTTACAGAAATGTCCACTGGGCGTCACCTGTTGGATTTCATCTGGGACATAGTTAACACCTGAGTGAGCAAATGCTGTTTTCACACCCGATCCAATGATCCTTGGGTCCTTCTCTGACGATGTGTCCTAACATTTATGGAAAGATCAACCTCATGCTAGGACGGCAAAACTCAAACATTCAGTGCAAAGAAAGAAAAATGAATCAGTCCAACAATGTTGCTGTCAGGACAGAGGAGTTTGAACTCTTACCCAGCAGTGAACAGGCCTCCCCCACCAGGCTCAGCGTCAGTATATCATCATAAACCGTGTACGTCATGAAGGTGTCCTGGACCCCGGGTAGAGAGCTGCGCAAAAAACATTACATTTCAGGGTAAAGTTGTCACCCCGGCAGGAATTGTCTTTCATTATAATAAATGTGCAGACCTCAGTTTTTCCCAAGTGTCTTGGCCAAATCTCTCCATCACCAGGGACTGGAGGCAGCTGTTGATGAACCCGTACTGCAGAGGACACAAACAATTCATTTATTTCAAATCCACAATCCGTTCAATGAGAATTTAGCATTTTCTTTTGGTTTGTCTAATATGCACTTGTTGCTGACATGGTGTGTTTATGTTCTGCTGTAATACAAATAACGGATTGCAACCCTGTGTAATATCATTAACATATTCAATGATTCAATAACTGTTTAATTCTCAGCTTGAGCCCAGTGGAAGTCACGCTGCCATCACATTTGATGACACCTGTGATGTTCAAAATCGTGGACAAGGTAATAAAGGAACCTGTGAACACCAAAGCTTTGTCTGGATTATGTCTTATGCAAAATAGTCTGATTTAACAGATGGAGACTGTGGGTGTGAGTCTGCCACTACATGCTAATTTTTCTCCCACTCTCTTCCCGTTAGTTTGCAAAATCCCCTTTTTCTACAGGGAGTGAGGCACCTCTGATCTGCAACATGCACACTGAAAACATTGAGATTTAGAGAATCATAATAAAGGAAACTTTGGTATTTTACACAGTCTTTGCAGGGAATACTAATCGTAGTTCATAAACCTATAAGTGATATATTGTTCAACTAGATTTAAATCCAGGTGAACATTTAAAAACAGAAGGTAGAGAAACAAAATAGTCTTCTAGGATCATCTGTGAGAACATCTCTCTACTGATGTGTATCCTCCACGTCCAGGAGAAGCAAATCAAATGGTAATAAATAAAACAGGGATACTTACTTTGCTTGACATTTAACTTTACAATTAACTTTAATTGTTACACTTAGTTCAATACCATTCTAAGAAGAAATCTCTAAGAAGAAATCAGACTTAAGTACAGACTTTGTAAGTCAATTAAGTAAGTACAATTTGCTGTACTCCTGACAAATCTAAAGAAAATTTCCAACATAGTATTTATTTCAATGTCATATTTGGTAGCGATAACAGAAATTGTTTTAATAGTACTTGTAAGTTATCATCATATCATAAATATATACATCTTTGCCTCAACAGCCCTTTAATTTGAATTATTGCTCATCTATTAATCTGTGAAAATAGGACATACTCACCATTTCTGTATCTGATGTTACCTTTCTGACTTCAACCACAGAAAAGGTGGTAGAAGAGACTTTATACAGCTCTCTCTCTCTCTCTCTTCCCCCCCCCCCCACACACACACAAACACACACACAAACACACACACACACACACTTCACTTTCTTAAAGGTGGTTGTGGAGGCAGAGATGTTAGTTTAGCTGCAGCTTAAGGTTGAGTTAGTTTAATTCAGTGTTGTCTTGGACGGAGCCTGGCTGCTGTGTCCTGTAGAGATCGCTTAAAGGCCACTGGAAGTCTCTGCATCAGAGATTTAACTCGTTCTACATCCTGAGGGCAAGAATTGATAAAGAATATCAGATATACTCTAAATATTTGGTATAATAGAGTAAATGCACGTGCAGTCAATGTTTCCCCTGTAGGACCTTTTCAGCATGGGTGCTGCTGTGTGCACGTTGTTGAGGGGAAAGTTTAAATTGTTATTTTTATTTATTTATGCACTTGAAGGAAACTGAGCTGCAGCAATACATGTTGATCTTTGAAAATCAAGGGTCAACAATACTCCATTTCATCCACTAGATGGCGCAGTTTCAACTTTGTATCAATCACACACATGCACCAAATACAATTTATCAAAACTTTATTCTTATAAAAATGTAAATAAGTCCAGAGGGTATCATCAGCTATATGTAAGCAATAAAACAAAATGTCTACGTCCATTCTTTTATTTAAAAAATAAACATTCTCTGTTAGTAAAAAATTATACAAATACATCACTGACTGATTTTTAGTATTATATCTAGTTGTAAATCGATACAGAAACGGCAAAACATTCTGGTGTAAGGATCCTGATGTGACATTCAAATTCAAATTGGTGCCTGAATTTCATTCATTTAAATAAATAGAAACATTAATTTGATTTCGGTTTTTAAAGCCTTCTAATTCAGACAAATTACATACCAGTCCAGTTAGTTTCATCCAACTTTGACATACAATTCATTTTGCTGCCAATAGCATGGTGTCAAAGTGCAAATTTGCTTATTGCAGCTTAAGAAATATTACTTTAGGAAACCAAAACTTTCTCTTTTTATTTTTTATTTCACATCTCTTGACTATAAAAAAGCTACAAAACTCATTTGTCCGTGACTCCTCATGTCTAGTATCTCTCCCACATTCTTCTTCTACATTTATTTTACATTATTCATCTTCATTGACCGTCAGAGGTTCCTTGGTTTGAAGCATCATATCGGAGCAGAAAGGCTCCTCATCATCATTGTTGATATCGTCATCTTCGTCCATCTCGTTGGTGATGTATGAGCCTTTATGTCTCGAAAGGCACCACATCAACACGGCTATTACACAGATCAGAGCAAGCAGCACCACACCCACAATTCCTGCAAGGAGGAGTACACGTGACAACAGGACGTCACACAAAGATGCCTGCACAAGTGTAAAGATGTTCCTTGTTTCATTTAAACAAAATAATTCTAATTAGTATTATCTAATAGATAAAATATGAAGTTAAACTCTCACCTCCAATCAAGGCCGCAAGGTCTCCATCACCTGAGTTGATGCCAATAAAGACAAACATTGAATTTCAAAATAGAACAAAATCAGCTTTCATTCACATCCTAGGAAATGTCATCTTGTTTCCACTAAAAATTGAATGGCCGCTTTTTTGTAACTGACTTTATTTGTAGGGTCGACAGAATTATTTATGTTTAAATTATACAAAATGTTTTTTGAAACCTGTGGAAACATTACAGAGCTACTCAAAAGTGATGAGTCAAACTGTTGGATAGTAGATTACATTTGTGTAAGAAGTTTAACGTGATAACTAAGTGACAGAGGTTTAAAATATAAGATTCCTCCAACAGAGTTTGTATTTGGGGAAACTTAAATGCTCTTCTCAATAGTCAGGAAATCGTCTTCAGAGGAGACATGGCAGCAGACATGGAGACCAGCCTCCTGCAACTCAAAAGGATAAATGCTATAGATAATGGATGGATAGGTGGATTGCATGAAGTTATTTTTAGGGTTATCTGTTTTAGCTCTAGTTTAAATTTGATGTACATATATTTTTGCATTAACGTACAGAAACATACTTCTCAGGTGTTAAACTAAAGCTTGTTTTTTTCTGCTGCATCTAGTCAGCTGTTCTCTGGCCCTGCTGTGGAAACAAGGGCCAGCAGGTATCAGTGCGTTGGCCTTTATCTCCACAGCCACAGACCCAGGAGGCCTCACAGTCGCTCCTTCCCATGCTCCTCTCTGACACCAGACTGATAAGACACTCCCTGCTCAACACACATGCACGCACCTCAGCTGGTCCAAAAAAAACGCTGTGTGTGTTTACATCAACTTAGAACTTTCGTCAGTTTGTTTTATTTTGTAGCCTAATTAATAAATGATTGAATGTATCCACATCTGGGCCACAAGTGAGCCATAGAAATCCTGCATGGCAACCAAAGGTATATTGCTGTTTTCTTATACCTTTTCCTTTGTGAACCACTTATACTCCAGTCGTATTAGTCAGCGGGTAAATTACACATCAGGTCGTCTACATGAACGTACCCAGCGTCAGTATCTTGGTCACAGCCTCTGGAGCTGGAGATGATGATTCAAATGTTGGGGCAGCACTCATGCTGACATCAACCTGAACAGGGAAGAAGAGGTTATTTGGCACGACTGTGAAATGGTGGCTGCTGGTAGGGAGGAAAAGTCTGGGGATCATCCTCTGAGCACCATGAATATTTATTTTCCTCTACAAATACTTTTCAAAATCAGGTTTTCATTCTAAGTCAGTGATGATATGATAATTAATGAGGGTAAACAACAAAACTGTCATTTATTCCAAATGTGTCTGTTTTACAGAAATGTAACCACAACATTGTCAGTTACTGCCTCTGCATCATGAAACCAAACTGGATCCGAAGTGTTAGAGATTGTTTCTGTAATCCAGCTGCTCACAGCTGCACAACATCAGGATCAATAAACAAACGTGGAATGCACCAAAACAGACATTTTATTCTGTTCACCACGATAAAACATTGTTACCATAAAACAAGATAATAGAATTTCAGCTTCTCTTACGCATCTTCTTTTACATAATGGTTTGCAACACTGAAAACTTTACTGACTCACTACTTCATGTGACCAAAGTAGAAACAAAGATGCACCTGTGGATGTGAAAGGGAGCTTGTTATGCAAAAAGTCAAATTATCACAAATGACACAAATAAAATAAAACCTTAATCTGTATAATAGGTTAAAAAGAGAACTCACCACTTCTGACAATCTGCAGGCACCTCCTCATTCACCAAGAAGAACAACAAGATGAAGAGGAAGCATGTGGTGTACAACACACACACACACGGATGGGTGTGGTGTCAGTCTCCAGGGTTCAGCTCCGTTCCCCTGTCGGCCAATCATGCGGCTGACTCCACCTCTGATGCTAAACAGCCTGCAGATGTCTGAAACTGTGCAGCTGGCAACGCCTCTTACATCATATGCTGTACAACCTCTTTATATACAGTCTGTGTACAACACATAAATTATCCTTGTGTGTGTTGTGCAGACCTTCCACCTGTTTATTAATACTAGTTAGACCTTTGTTTTTATATGTGGCCGTGTCCAAACTTTGGGGACATGTGGAGACCGAAGGGACACGAGTGATTCCATTGTTTGGACATGTTAAGTCAATTATGACATGTTCATGTGGTTTAAGTTGTTAGGACACTTTTCCTGCATTCTAGGAGCAAAAAGACAGGAAGAAAGTGATCAACCACAAGATGTAAAAAGTACTTTCAGTTTTCCTTCCTCCAGCATGTCTGAGCTGTTAAATAAACTGTGATGCACCTGCAAAATCGAAACCATAACAGCCAAATGGTTTCTATAAGTCTTACTGTGTGTTTATCAATTATAAAGGTGATAACTAGTACACTCTATTATTTTTATTCCAGTATAGAAAGATGGATGTGGACCGAAACGTGAACCCAATGAGAAAAAATGGGTTTCACACACTTTCACAAATGACCGGTAGTGGGCAGCGACTCCTGTACTTCTCACTTCATTTGAAACGTCAGTGAACATTTTCCTAATGCGTTTCCTGTTTCAGTATGATGATCAATTTGTAAATTATGGTCCATTGAGAATCAAATAGCGTAAACACTATGCATTGGGGCGTGGGCACAGTGTGATTTACAGCTGATACCATCCAATGGGAGCAGGTCGCTGGTGCAGGTGGGTGTGCAGTGTCCTCGAGTTCTCAGTCAGACTCCACCCACCACTCCTCCAAATATAGTAACTTCTGGTTTCAAAAAGCTGAGATGGCGCTGGACAAACTTGAGGCTTCGAAACAGAACAATGGGTGATGTCATTGTGGACTATTGACAAGAGTGAAACACTTGTAGGGATTTTCCCATGCAACTGAGAAATAATGTGTATTTTCTTCCATCATGGAAATATTACATTGGGTTGCAAGGGATATGCAGAAAAGTTTAATTTCTTAGGCTCAGCTTTTCCTTCAAATGAAAATATGAAGAGGGAGCTTTCCTTGACCTCAGCAGGGACAGGACCCACCCTTCACACCTGAGGTTGCATGGAAAAGAAAAGAAAAAGATGGACACTGATCCGCAGTCGACTTCTACTGTTTGGGTTGTAAATGTGACATCACCGGGAAAAACTAATTCATGGCACATGTTTGAATCACATTACATGTGCTCACAAGGGAAATTGCAACATAAATGTTATTGACTAATGGCAAAGCAATGTCATACTTTTTAGGTCTTTTCAAGCTTCAGCTCTAAATGTTATCAAAACCAGATTTCTGAGTTCTGTTTGTAAACCAGGAAACATCTGCAGTGAAAGAGTGAGAGTGTGAAAACACTGAGGGAAAACATCCGTGGACAGATGTTCCTGTGTTGTTTCTAGGAATGTTTTGATTTATGACAACTGGTTAATCATGTTGACTTTTAAATCCAAATGTGTCACTTTCTGTCTTTACTTTCCAAAGTTAATCAACATGGACCAAACAAAGTGTTCATGTTTCTGATAAGTTTGGTTTCAATTTGTTATTTGATGTGAAAAGTCATGAATGAAATCTGAGACGGACTCGCGATGGGTTGGTCGGCTGCAGCAGTAGAAGTGGCGACGCTTCTTCCACGTTTATTCTGTCTGATTTTCACTAATCATTTGACTATGAGCATTAGCTCTGTCCCACAAAGACAAACTCACAGTGACACATTGATAATTTAATTCATATCATCGCCAACGTCCAAACAAACCAGCAAATCTGCACATTTCAAAACACACATCGTCAACCAGACAGACTTCTCTATTCCACACTTTTTAGTAACACTTTCAGAGCAAAGTTTTCTCTGCATGGAGAGTTTCTTAGATTGTTTGAAAGTTTCTACTGGATTCAAACTCTTAACAGCATCACAGCTGCAGCAAAAGCAGGGAGGGAAACTCATCTAGTCTACAAGCAACAAGGGATGCCAACATTTTCTGATTATTTCAGCGGCCAACTCAACATTTGAAATAACATAAATGATTATTCGTTTACCAGTTACCTAAATATGAGGTAATACATTTTTCCAAAAAGAGCTTCTAAACAAATTGTATAACTGTCATCAACTATATATTTTGTTGGGAATTGAGAATCAACGAAATGTTTAGAAGACAGTTAAGAGCCACGTCCATCTACAAGCTAAATTTAAACAAGAGACTCGGAAGCCATTTCGCAATTGTGCAAGCTGCTTTTAACCAGATTCTACCAAATTAGCAGCAAGAGCAGTCTACAAGCCAATCAAGTGTTTTTCAAATGTTGACCTACTTGCCTCACTTTCAGTATTTACTCGGCTCGATCTTTCACATGCAGGCATCTCTAGAAAGTTGGTTGACTCTTTAGCCTAGTTTCTTATGGCCTCCTAAGATTTTGTAAACTCGAATTATTGGTGAATAATATCACTAGCCACATGCATAATCTGTCAGCCATTTATAGATTATCATATGTAATATCATTGAAATGAAGGTTGGTTTCCAAACAATGTGACTGCTAGGACAGAAGAGAAAACTAATCAGAAGCCACTTTCAATCCTTCACTAGCCAATCAAATCATTTTTATATGACAACTATCATTTCAAACACTGACATCTCTAGATTATTTCTGTAAAGCCACTTGACTTATAAAAAGTAGAATATTGATAATGGAAAGAAATAAATTGAAGCTCTAAAAGTTGTTAGAGAGAGGCAACATTTCAACTACTACTGGTCGACTTTCAGAAGTCAGTTTGTCGCTACACCAAAATCTTGACAACGTTCAAAGCTATCTAGATATTGAGTGAGTAGAAAATAGTAAGATCTGAAAGAAACATGGTAGATTTCAGCCAAACGTTTCTCCAGCCAGCAGCCAAATACAGACTGCTAACCATTGGCTGCTGGCTAGATTCATGTTTGAATCGAGAAGGCTCTGCGTTGCCGGGCTTCTGCTTTTTTTTTTTTGTACAATTTACTTAAGCTCCCCTTTCATCCCCGTCCAAGGTCACCGCCTCATTACTCGTCTTCATGCTCGAAAAACTCGTGGCAACAGACGGTAACCATGGAGACGAAAGTCATGAACTCCTGGAAGTTGCATTCGGAGTCTCCGTCGGTGTCAAGGCTCTCCATCAGGCTGTCCAGCTCGGCCTGGTCTTTCACATGCTGCAGACGGGTTCAGATCAGGACAAATACGACAACAGAGAATAAAACACATTTGGGTAAAATATGAATTTAACAGTTCTACTTGCAAACAAGAGATCTGTGTTAAAACTCATCTCTTGAATTGAAATAGAAATATCTCCAAGTTAAGTTAAGAAATACATGAACAATTAAACTAATTAATCTTTATTTATTTCAATTCTCTCCCTGATGTATTTTTTATCAACTTAATGTATGTAGATTATTTCCTTCTTTCTGTCCATTCTGTCTATTATTTTGTTTTGTTCTTTTATTCCTCCTTCTAAATATTTCTTTCCTTCATCAACTTAAAATAAATGTCCCCAAACAACTGAACTAAATATACTCCATAATGAATTGTAGCTCAGTACTGAAGTACTTCATTCAACCACTGTAAAGGGTTCGAGTACTATTTCAGTTTCAAAATACACTACCTGCTCTCTCTGCTAATTTAAACCCTTTAAACCTATGTTTCCTCCAACTTCTCCCCAAAGATCTGAGTCTGCGTCTCACCGTCATCAGATCCGGCAGCTCGTCGTGAAGCAGGTCCTTCAGCTCGCTCTTCTTCAGTTTGTGTTTGTCTCCTTCTCTCTCCGAATACTTGCGAAACACTGCGATCATGGTCACCATGGAGGTCTCGAGGTCAGTCATCTTCTTTTTCTCTTCTTCAACATGAAAATGAATAAAATAATGAGAGTCACTTATACTGCTACAATCTCTAGTGGTAAAATTCTGATTTTTTTCCTTTTAATTATCTGAAGATAATTTAACAACAGCTCATTATGATGTAAATGTAATGTACTGTCTCACATGATATATACTTTTAGAAAACAGAGGTGGTGTCCATTTCAAAATATCACTTTATAGAAATTTGAATTTTAGTTTTGTTAAATTGATGATTGAATGTTATTAGATTTAAAAACACTGAAAATAATAAACACAATATTACACAGTTCAATTCAAATGAACTTGATTACATTTTTTAGTCTAAACATGTTTTAGTGCAACAAAGTGAATCGTAAACTCTTTCAAGAATACTTGATATGCACTTTTTAAAAACATGAGCTAAAGAGCACAAACTGTTTGATGATTGATCATGATCATAATTTTACACATTGGCACACAATCAATATCCAGTGAATGAACACTGGCCGATGAACTCACCTCACGGTTTGTCTGGTCAGAGGCTGTGTGTTGTGTATCCAGAGAGCGGAGGCTGAGGATGGACCGCAGCCTTTATACTGAAGCAGTGTGGTGGGTGGCAGCGCTGAGGTCAGCCAGTCTGTCGCTGACCAATCCCGTCCGTCCACCTCCTCTCACTCCACTGCTGCAGCACTGATCTGACTCTTAAAATCCTTCATGTGCAATAACACAACCACTGTTCCTAATAAGGAGAAATACAATTTCTCTTACTCATGATACTTTTATTGGGTTTAATGTTTGGGCTGAAACTTAAAAATGTACCTGAGTAAAATGGATGAATTCAGTGTCATCATTGACTGCATATAAAGATGGACGACATGACTAAGCCAAATGATCCACATCGCCCCTGGTGGCTGGCCGCACTATGTAGGTCATAGACACTGTCTCCTCCATGTCAGTGGGTGGGACAGGAGTCATACTAAATAGTCAAAGTACACATCAACATAGTTTCTGAACCCCATCAGTGTTACTGTCATTAAATCCTCCAGGGAACTGTTTATTAACGTAACGTAATGACTCATAGAAGCAGCAGCTCCTCTCTAGTTGAGGTACAGTACATTTAAAAAACCTTGCCAAGCACCTCTGATGTGATTTAAGATTCAATGACACGGACAAACAAGCGTAAAGGTGCCAAACACCTCGCTGTGCATCTCTGTCCATTCATCGTATATACCCTCCATCTGTGTTCCCCCTTTGATCCGGCCCTGGCTCGTTTCCTTGTGTTGCAGCATCTGCTGGGCAACAAAGGCCCGTTTCAGAGGAAGTGGATGGTCGTGCATGTTAATGAACACGTTCTTTTCACTGCTGAAGTCGTCCAGACGTGTGCCCGCCGCTCAAAAACACTGCTGCCCCCGCCAAACGGGCTGAAGTTCAGATGTGCCTGTGCTTTTTGCTGTAAACAAACATATGGAACTTTGAAGAAGAGCTATATTAAGTTTATTAAGTATCTAGGGATAGTAACTCAAAAACTTCACAAATGCAATTTAAGTTTCACACAAAGAATAACAATGTGAAACTTTTATTGGGAATTGTATGGCATAAAAGAAAATCAATATTTAAATGAGACAGACAATCATATTTCATTGTAAATCCAGTCTTTCTTCGGTGTCCCCAATTCCATAAATGAAATATATATATATATTATGGGTCAATCTCCACAATGTGCTGAATTCCTGCGCCCTCTCTGACCTCTGTCCACTCTCTGTATTTTCAGTCTGGAGAACAGAGCCGTTTATGACACGATAAACTGTTTCTTTGTCCGATGATAAATACACTCCTCACGCGGATGATAACTGACTGTTTCATTGTTCGCATCAAACACTGAAACTCTGTGCAGGGAGACGGGCCCAAATCTGGAGTCACACAGCCGGACGAGAGAGCTTCATCTATCATGTCTCTCTCTCTGCTAGGTCTGTCTTCTTAGTGTAAAAAAAACCCCAACAACATTTAATTAATGGATGTTAAATAGCCACAATAACAGATCAAATAGATAATTACCTTACATTTGACTAAAATGAAATATTATCTAAATTAATATTAAAGACGAATATGCACTTACTGTATAAGAAATACTTATAGCTTGCTGTGTAAGCTCATTATATTATTTTACTTAAGTCATGAAAAGTCATAGGCAAACTTTTTTAATTGCTAATTTCCTCTTTGGAAGAAATCTTTAAGAACAGTGTAAAACAAAATGAAAACTTTGCATAATTTAAGTTGCTTAATGCATTCACTGTTGTTTTTTATATTCTTGTTAGTCAGAATAATGTGTTGGATGTCATTATCTTATCACCACAGGAAGGAGGAAGACAAAATAAATTTAAAGAATATAATCCTCTCCCTAATAAGTTGATACATTGAGTCTAGGTTACATTAAAACAAGTGAATAAGGTAATAAAAGGCATTTTTATTAAATAGTTTCACCAACAAAAAAACCCCAGACACATTTTACACCTCAATATTTCACAGGGACCCTCTCTTTCTCCTCCTCTCTTGTGTCTCTTTCAGCATATTTGCTCCTGGGAGATGGCGTCCTCAAACACCCCGGGGCGTCCCCAGAGCCAGCCAGGTTCCTGGAACCCAGCCGTCGCTGTGGCAACCAGTCATTGCTTCCCGCTGGTCTGGAGAAGGTCTGCCAGGCCGCTGAGTCACCACCTGGCATCCTGGGTCAACCTGAGAATAACACACAGGAGGGATCACATATATGTGTGTAGAAGTTATTGGGGGTTTGGTTTCTTCACATTTCTTTCAGGATTTTTCTTTTTTCTCTCTTAAATTCATTCATTTCTAATTTCAAGTAGGTCGTGACCTCTGACCTTTACTCATTATTCATCTTGTGATGTTGGCAGCTCAGGAGTTTCGAGTCCCTCTGGAGGAAAAGACTAAAGGAAATTAACATTCAAATAAAAATATCTATATTTATAATAAAAAATAGTATCAAGCTTTTGTTTCTGCAGCACTTGTCATAGTACTAAATTCCCACTGGATGGCGGCATTGTGTCGTAAAGATCTTAGCAACCTTATCTAATATCAATAATATGCAATTGTGAGTTCATTGAGATCAAGATCATGAAAACAGTAACAAGAATTCTTAAACCCAAACTGACTCTCTGTGAAATCTTTGTCTCCACTCATTAAAATGGGAAAATGAATCCTCAACATGATGTGAAAAAGGTTTTACTCCTGTATCCCCTTCTTTAAGGTTGTTGTAGTTCGTGTTTTGTCCTCTAGAGGACAATCTCTGACCACGTTCTAACTTGATCCTCATCCAGTATTTCCCAGAGGCCTCATGATGAATAGAGAATGGTCTTGCTGTCTCGAGTCGTCTCGTGTCCAACAGTTGTCTTATTATCACAGAGACTATTCTCAGTCAAACACTAAAGAGACTGAGGACACTAAAAGAACCCCTGCACATGTCGTTCATTGTATCTTAAGAATGGATAAATTGCACAATAATACAACCTTGATCCCTAACTTTGTCTTTTTCTATTGGTACAGAGCTTTCAAGAAACTCAAAGACACTTAATCTAACTGTAAAACATGCAACAGACTTTCTGTATATAGAACATCTGTATCTATTGTTTAAAAAATGCCTCTTCTACTCTATTAGTCAGTTTTTCAACTTATTAATATTTTCTAACAAAATATTATTTTCTTACTTCCTGTTTTTGTGTTAACATTTAAAAAGTCCTTGTTAAGAAACAAGATTATCTATCTTGAAAATATGACCTTATGGTGGTGCTTAAAGACAGTCAGACTATAGAGATTAGATTTTATTTAGTTATGTGAATGATGACCTACAATTATACTCCAGTGAAACCATAACTGTCTCAGAAGATTGTTTATTCAAATATTTTAACCATTGCTGCCATTGTCCTCTCAACATCCTAATTCCTGGCTGCAGCCATGACAGTGACCGAAGCGAGCACGGTTGATATCCTGCCAGGTGATAACACGGTGCTCGTCCTGGCCTGTGTTTCCCTCCGCAGGGCTACTCCCTGGCAAAACATGCATATGTCTGGCTGCTGATCACAGCTTAATCCTCAATCTGTCATTCAAGCCGCCCAAATCCCATCTGGGCTCATTTGCTTGTTCACACTGCAGCGGCGAACAAACCGCCTTGAACCTGGGTAAGATGGAGGTGGAAAGTGTATTGTGAGGGGTCAGGACTGCTGTGAGTGTTACCTTGCTGGGCGTTTCTCTGAGTTATGGCTGCAATCAAGCCACCATGGTGATTTGTGAAGGTCGACTGTTGTTGCCTGGGTCTCAGGGGGGATGACTTTCTGTCTCCTCCGCTCTCTCCAACACTCTCACTCCCAAACAACATTCATCTTCACAAGTTATTAAATCTCACAATCTGATTTTTATTGAACCGTGGCAACAACTCGGCAGACTGAGGGGACACATCACCACTTTGTTCCAAGGTCAAATGTCATGTCTAATGAAAAATGACATTTTATCACTTAAATACTTTATTAATCATAAAAACATGAATTCATGTGTGAAAGTACTTGTAACAAATGTATTGATGGATGAAAAAATGATTTATTGTATCACCCATCTCATGTTTGTAGTTTTTATACAGCACAGTGAGGCCAACTAAAACTTCAGGCTGTGTAAAGGGTTTAAACCTTTGGTCATTTGGTATTAGATCAAATAAAGTTCTTCTATTAGTGGAATCACTTCAAAGCATATTCGCAGGAATCTACATCGTCATTTCGAGGAACTTTTCTAGGTTAATTACAGTTCGTATCTGTTTCTAGGAGGTATTAGGGAACTCAGTGACAAAAGATGGTATTGATTGTATGTCAGTGTTTGCATGAGACTAAATAAAGGGCAGGAAATACTTTGTGCTCTCATGTAGTAAATGTTTAACAATACACCTGCAGGCAGGCGATGTTTTTATATTTTGACCAAAGAATCAGACAGATTTTTTTAAGATGCACTGTCATGCATTGAGCCACTGTGACGACCCAGAGCGTGCCAGCTGCAGAGTGGCCATCTCATTTTGCATCTCACCCTCCGTAATCCCATAATCCTCTCCTGCCTCCACTCTCACACCCCCCAACCCCGATCGGATTATGTGCTCCTGGATCCTGATGGCCTACATATCTACTACCTCCACAGACGGGAAAAGAAACAGAGACAAACAGGTTTACAGACTAAACTCGGCAGACTTTAAACAGAATGAAGGTCAATGATGAATCACTACGAGCAGCTAAGTGCATCGTAAGCTGTTTAGTCTCACGCTGATCTTTTAAACCTTATTTTTTTTCTCCCAAACTTAAGGATGCACTTTTATTCTTCAGATACACGCTCAGTTTTATGAATGACCCCATGAACTCTCCTGCTGAAGTAAATCTGCAAAATAACTTGTTTCGATGGAGAAGAATCATTTTTCTTACAAATCATTCAGAGACAACTTTCTATTTTCCTTTCTAACTTCATTTTCACTTATTGAACGTATTTCACTTACTTATTGAAAATGTATTTTTTTCTTGTCTTAAGGGACAGTTCACACAATTCAAACAAAATTATTTTTTTACACTTTGGTTTTCAGGCAGGCAGCA